TGCAAATAAAGCCAAAGATGGAGAAGCAATAATAGAAAAGCATCTAGCCAGCTACATATGAAGCCAAAGATGTTAAGGCAATAATAGAAGAAAGGAGGTCCCTTTGATGAAAATTCAAAGAATGCATGTGAAAATGTAGACCCCAGGAGGAAAAGAATAGAGAGGCATGTGAGCCTTTTTTCAAATTTCTGATGTATGCAATGATGTAATAGACCAATAATAGTAAGTTTGAGTCATGTATAAATAGAGGTCTTTGGGAAAGAATGGATCATCTCGAGTTAGAAACCATTCTCTTTCCTTAAGCTTTTTCAAAATCAGTTTTTCTGAAAATCCCTTGTATACAATATAAATCTTGTATAAATCATTATAAATAAAATCTCAATCTTTTGATATCAGAAAGATATGAGTTTCTAAAACTTACTATCCTATAGATTCTTGATAGATTGAAGAAGATAATCTCTTTCTTACTTTAACAAAGAGAGAATTTTCTTTACTTAAGATCTTTATTCTTAATTCTAAGAAAAGATACAGTGAGGGCAAGAAGCTGAAATAGCAGAATTCTCATTGAGGCAAGAGGCCGTTTAAGGGAGCAGTTTGCAGATTCAGAGCCTGAAGGTCACTCGGTTCTAAGAATACAGATTTAAGATCAAAAGTAAGGTAAAATTATTGTCTTTGTTAAATTTAGAAAGAATTCTTCTAATATCTTGAAAGAATCGTAGGGATTATTATTGTTTATGTTTGCAAAAAACTTGTCTAAATATGTTATTATTCATAAAGTTTGCAAGGAATTATTTGAATAATGCCAGGTTATACAATTAAAGGATTAGATAATCTGTTAGATAGATTAATGGAAAAAATAGAAAATATTTATTCTCAATTAGAGATTATGGATATATTATCGAAGGAATTTGATAATCTTAGTAAATTACATGATAATTATATTACAGATTATGCTAATTTATTAGATCAAAGGATGAAATTATATATTAAAACTCGAAATGAGAGAAATAGAGGAATTTAAGACTATCCCAATAAATTAAGGATATCTTGTGCAATATATGATAAATTATTTCATTAAGGGTATTATAGACATTTTACCAAAAATGAATAGTAGTAGGCCATTTATAAAAATCTCCCCAATTTCACACCATTCATGAAAAGTCAAACCTTCAAACAAAAATCAATATTCATATGCTTTAAAATCTGACGATCCGAGAGATTGAGATGGTTTCTTTTACCATCCTTGAAAATCAACACTCAAACACGTCGCATTTTATTCTAGAATGATGTTACTTGTACATTAAGTGATGTCCACATAATTGTCCAATATTCTCACATAAAAGAAAATTCACATTGAATAAATTATAATTTATTTGAAGTAGATCGTGGGGAGTAAGTGAACACCCTTTCCAGGGCGAGGCCCAAGCGGTTCGGTGTGAAGACAGTCGGGCAACCTGGGCAGAGATCACCGTTCGGGTAGCTCTCAAATCACCGCACACGCTCAAAAAGAAAACGATAATTATCCCACACACTCGCACACACACTCTCTCCCTCCCAACCTTGATGCAGAAAGAGGAAATGGATTTGTAGAGAGAGAAAGTGAGTACTGTACATTACATAGGTGAAAATTGCAGAGAGCCATAGAAAGTGCCCTCATCAAATTACAAAGCCTTTCGAACTTAAAAAAAAAAAAAAAAATAATAATAATAATTCTTTTTTCAGTTTTCGTTATTTCTTCCATTAGAGAGTGTAGTTATGTAATGGGATCAATTACTTGAGTGTAATGTTGGAGTTTTTGGGCAGAAAGTGAGATAATATTTTCTGGGTTTTTTTAAGTGACCCTTTTGGATGTGTTTGGATCTGAGATATCTTCTGATGAACCAATGAGTTTATATGCTTATCTGCACATATGCATATGAATTATGAAGCTGATGGAAAGAGGGGGTATAGTACCATTGGTGCTGTGGTTAATTATAGTGGTGCATCTATTGAAATTTATCTATGCTAACATTGAAGGTTTGTGTTAATGTATGTATATTTATATTTTTTTTATTTCGGTTTATATTTTTAAATATACTTGTGGGCTTTTTTGTGTTCTTTTGGCTCTAGATTTCTTTTGAATTTCTTCTTCAATTTGTAGTTATAATTGAAAAGTTCCAACATTTTCTTTGGCTTATTAATTTATTGTGCCATTCATGGAATGGATTTATAGAAATGTAACTTTTGAATTTACTGATGTTATGCCAAAAAAATGTCAAAAATACTCTAGCACCTAATTTATTGTGAACTATATTGGGAATATAAATTTATATCAATTCATTAGCGTAGTTCTTGTTATAGAAATTCTTATATAACTTGTAGTACTGTCTTTCTAATTTAAAAATTGACTCTTCACTAGAATCTTCTCAAGAAACTATTTCCTTGTTTAAGTTCTTTGGAAATGGTTCTACTTTACTAAAATAAATTTAAATAATCATGAAAAACTTGATTTTCATACCATTTCTCAGTTGTTCCACATGGCAATTTGAGATGATTGGTGTTGTTTTTTATGATGTATTATTACTCTGTGGCATCTAAGTTTTCCCGTTGCATATATGGACAGGTGATGCTTTACATAGCCTTAGGACGAACTTAGAAGATCCAAACAAGGTGCTGCAGAGTTGGGACCCTACCCTTGTCAACCCGTGTACATGGTTCCATGTTACATGCAACAATGATAACAGTGTTATAAGAGTGTAAGTATCTGCTTTAGTTAATTTTTCCATTTTCATACATTCAGTGCTACTTCCTAAAGTTAGTGTAATAAGTTTGTTAACCAATTGAAACATATTTTATGGCCTTAACGTCCAGTTATTTTTTTTTCCCAGTGATCTGGGGAATGCTGCTTTATCAGGTCAATTGGTACCACAGCTTGGTCAGCTGAAGAATTTGCAGTACTTGTATGTCAAGTAAATTTGTTGATTCTTTTTTATTTTTATTATTAAAATCACAATAATTCAAGTTAGCATTATGAACAGAAAATGCCAATATTATTATATAAATGTTGAACATTGGATTATGTTTGGAATGACAAATCTGCTGGTGATATATTCTGTTTAAGGTATTTCTATGACCAATATACGATTTAGTTGTGGCTAGAATCTCGCTGCATCGACGCTGAGAGTTTGATGACCATTGGAAAACTTAAAATAATTTACTAGAACATTAGTTATACCTGATAAAATGCACTGATAGCATCCCAACTCCAATATGATTCAATCATGCAAGTTGTTAATTCAAATTCTAGAGTGTTCCACTAATTAGTTAGCAAAGGGGTAAAATGGGGAATAGAGATATAATAGAATATCTATAAATGTCATGAGGGGCTGGGGGAGAATTCATTCAGGAATTTTGTTAGAAAAGTGAGGAGAGATGAAGGCCTCTCGAATGCCTTGGTGTGTCTTTCAAATTCTGTTTCATTTCATCAGTTCATTTATAGATGTTTTAAGTTCTCTGCAATTCAATAAAACAATATATTTCATCTAGCTTCAATTCTGCAATTCTTTAGCACTATTCCAGTTATCTCCAATTTCATCAGCAGCCGGCAGAACCTTGGACATCCCAGTTACCTCAAGCATCAGCCGCAGTAGCCAGAACCTCTCAAATCTAATCCATAAAAACTAACTTTGGCAACCCCAGGCTCCATTTCAGTTCTGCAACAGCTACAACAGCACAGGAATCTATCATGCACCAAAACTGTTTATAAGTTTGTCAACACCTGATTTTTGCATGAATAGGATGACCATAGGGAAAATTATAGTCAATGTTCTTTATATTTCATTCTATTAGCAATTTAGTCTCACTGGATGTTGATTACACGAGAAAGAACAAAATTTACCGTCTATAAAGTTAATGAAGTTTGAGAATGCTGTCATATGTAAGCTTTAATATCATATGGCAGGTCACAAAGTTTTAGAGTATCGGTATCAGTATCAGTATCAGTATCAGTATCAGTAGACAATTAAATATGGGGAACCTATTAATGAACGCTACAATATTGAGGTCTGATTGGAAAAGATTACAGTTGAGTTCTTTTTCTTCATTAGTCATGCCCAGAAGGGCGGAATGTTATATCTCATTCCATCTTATAATTTTTGGTGTCTTGATGCCTACTGTGGCATGCAAAAAGTTCCGTCTTTGTGTGTTTGTGTGTGTGCATGTTTCAAGTAGTGGTTTGGTAGATGGACTGCGGTTTTTTTGTTTCTGGTAAGAGAATGGAAAGTGAGATTGTTTTCCCTCATAACTACTAAGCTACTTGCCAAGCTTCTTAGAAAGGAGAAAACAATTGAGATTCAACAATTGTGGTATTTTCTTTTCAGGCACTAAATATTCTTCTTCTTTTTCTGGGATTTTGTTTGCAATATTCAGTGTTTCTTGGTTAATAGATCTGTGCAAATTAATATCATGTGCTTCTAATGCCAATAGAAAGTATCCTGTTCAATAGTATTTTAGATCCAAAAACTGCCAAATAAAATGAGTACCTTGCGGAGCTGTTGTTTCTTTTAACTTCTGTCATTGTCATTTTTATTTGTGTTGGTCAAGGAGAAGAACATATTTCTCTTTGATGAAAAATCTACATGAAGTGGAAAGCGCAAACAAACATTCTTTTCTATAGTTTTGGGCTTTTGTGACCCTTTTCATCTAAAACATCTGCTTCTTTTGCATTTTGCTGACTATTTGTCCAGAGAAGAAGGTTTCCATATGTAGTTTTGTGAAGGTGTAAAACTGGGTTTGAAGGGAAAGTTAATTTAAAGTTTACAGGAAAATCTACATTAAAATTTGAAGAAACCTATTATCGCTGTATTTTTCTTTAATGTTTTCCAGTTCAATATTATTTCTCCATAACAGATTATGGATAATGGGTATCAAGCTCCTTGCTTTGTGCTCAGAATCAAGATGTCTTGGTGTGCTATGTGCTTTAATAACTATGATACTTTTATTTAATTACTCATTACATACATTTACCACACATCATGTCAAAACTTAGCATAACATCATAATCTTGTAATGCAGAGTACTATGAATTCATGCCTTTTACACGCAGATATATGCAAATATTTTCGAGCATATATTTACATATTTATTCCCACGTTTTTCTGAATGCATTAATTTAATGATTTTGTCTTATTTTAATCTACATAAATCAAATTTGTTTTATTTTTTGACAGGGAGCTCTACAGTAATAATATAAGTGGTCCAATCCCCAGTGATCTTGGAAATCTGACTAATTTAGTGAGCTTGGATCTGTACTTGAATAGTTTCACTGGTCCCATTCCAGACACATTGGGCAAGCTTTCTAAATTACGTTTCCTGTATGTACATTCATCTTGGATGTGGAATAGTATTGTGAATTTGAATTGCTTGTTATGGTCATCGACTCTTGTTGATGTTTTCTTTTTTTGCCTGATTTGTATCCCTTTTCCCTATCCCCACGCACAAATTAATATATACATTGCATGTCCCAGCAGACAAAAGTATATGTCCCTAACATAATCGTGGTAGCAAAGCATACATGAAGAGAATGTTATGGCCTTCCCTTGAGTGTTGCTAGGATTGCTTCTTTTCTTTGTTGTTTTTTCTGGGAAAGAGAGCGGATTTTAGTGTGAGGTGGTTTTGTTGTTTTAAATAATGGGGAATGGCTGCGATTTGTCCTGATGCTGAAAGTAACTGCTTTATTATGTAAAAATAATCTAAGGCCCTATTTGAGCCACTTTTAAAAAAAAAAAAAAACATTCTTTAACAGTGATTTGATATCATCTCAACCACGCATTCTTCAATAAAATAATATTACACGTAAATCCAAATCTTTTTCTTATTTCTTAACCACACATTTTCCATCAATACACTATTCAAAAATACATTTTCATTCTAATAATGTGGCTCAAACAAGGGCTAAATATATGCCTTAACTAAAGGGAACAACATCGGACTTTATTAAAGAGTGATGTAATTTTAGTTGCTTATGAACAAGGAATATGATTATATAGAGACTAGAAGAGAGGAAATTAGTTCTTGTTTCATCATAAGAAAAGAAATTGCGAACGAAAAAGGAATTGGCAACAGAGGGATCACTGATTCTTATTTGACAGTTAGCTGGGTGTTGACAACACACTGAAGATTACTAAGAATGAGGGATAATGCCACCTTAACTGGGGGAAAAAATGAAAAACCGAGGTTTTGATTATAGTTCTTTTGTTCAAAGCTGTCTGTTCAGTCTTTGAGCTCATTAACTATCTAGTTGCATGATCATCTTCTGAGAAACTTTGGCAAGATAAAGAAATTTTCTTGGGTGCTGACATTGTGACCTTAGTGCTGATGCTGTAATTTTGAGCCACTGTCACGTTAATCTTGACAAGTAAAATGGAACGTGAAACTTCTTCCTCGCATTCAACCCCCAACCCAGGAAAAAAGGACAGGACACGATGAAAAGTTCCACAGATGGCTGTACAGATCTATTGAGACTATGATTGAGTTAATGTTAGCATGAGATTTTCTGTCGGTGTTCTGAAAAGGTTTTGAATTTGTTTTTTTTTCCTTATTGCTATCTTATTTGTTGATTTAATTGAATACTGACGCATCAGATAAAAACATGTTAACATTCTCTTATGATTTTGTGAGACATCATGAATCTTAACCTGCACCCTTGTCATGTCTGTGTAAGGATAGCCGTCTAAATAACAACAGCTTGACCGGTCTCATCCCTTTGTCATTGACAAATGTCTCATCATTACAAGTGCTGTAAGTGCCCATGTTGGTCTGATTTACTTTCTTTTTATGTTTTGTAATTGCACTCTGTTTGTCTTTCTCCCGCTTCACTGTTTTACATGTAGGCATGCGATTCTTTTTGGATGATGTTGTGATGGTTTCAAATTACTTTCATACACAGGGATCTATCCAACAACCGTCTTTCAGGGGCAGTACCTGATAATGGTTCCTTTTCTCTATTCACGCCTATCAGGTTTCTTGCTGATATATGCCCGGTACTAATTTGAAATGTAAATATTGTGGCTTTGAATTTGTGCTGACATAGAGGATTTGCCAATTTCAGTTTTGCTAATAACTTGGATCTATGTGGCCCAGTTACTGGACGGCCTTGCCCTGGATCTCCTCCATTCTCTCCACCCCCTCCATTTGTTCCACCACCCCCGATTTCTTTGCCAGGTAATTTTATTAAACTTTGGTTTTAGTTGCTGGGCTGTGGCATTTCTGAAAAGGTGAATACCCGATCAGTGTGATCTTCAATTTTTTATTGGAGTATGTCTAAGGGTAGAGTTGATCAGTTCCTTTTTTTTTTTTTTTTAAGTAAGAAATTAACTATACACAGTCTGTCATCTGTATAACTGTGTAAAAAAGTCTTGTCTGGTGCTTGCAAAGATTGAGAAATTTGTTATTTTTTGCTATTCTTCATGGGTCGCTGCATTTGCTCGTATTGATTCTATTAAACGCTGATTGTGTTGGTCAACTAAGAATCTAAGATAAACATAAAAATATAGTTCGATTCCTGTCTATGATACTCAAAAAAAAAAAAAAGTATTAAAAATAGCTGCATTTCTATCTTAGTTAGCGCATCTGCTGTTAGTATTATTGGATTTTTCCTGAAATTAGATCTAACTGAGTACTAGTGCTGTGAATGGTACACTCCATTTTGAATTGGCTGATTTCTACTGTCTATATCTAATTGTGAGGATATGAAAGTAATTTGTTGTGAATTATTTGACCTATAGATGGACTGCCCAATTTAATGTTATTTCTTTTTGACATGAAGTAATAATACACTTCCTGTGTATTATTCCTTGATTAATAAAATATTTAATTGCCTTTCAATTAAAAAGGGGATCAGGAGGTATTCCATAGTGAAATCTATAATATAAGTTTCTCACTATGTGATTACTGATGATGAGGAATGAAACTGTAGGACAAAATAGTGCAACTGGAGCCATCGCAGGTGGGGTTGCTGCCGGTGCAGCTCTGCTCTTTGCTTCCCCGGCTATTGTGTTTGCATGGTGGCGTAGGAGAAAACCGAAGGAATATTTCTTTGATGTACCTGGTTGGTTGTTTGACTGAACGCATTCCTTTGCATGGAACAAGGTTCTCTAATGCCGTACATAACTTGTCTGCATATCTTTGTAGCTGAAGAGGACCCTGAAGTACATCTGGGACAGCTAAAACGTTTCTCTCTCCGAGAGTTGCAAGTTGCCACGGATACTTTTAGCAATAAAAACATTCTGGGCAGAGGTGGTTTTGGAAAAGTATACAAAGGACGGCTATCTGATGGTTTGCTGGTTGCTGTAAAAAGGCTTAAGGAGGAGCGGACTCCTGGTGGGGAGCTTCAATTTCAAACAGAAGTGGAGATGATCAGTATGGCTGTGCATCGTAATCTCCTTAGACTGCGTGGCTTTTGTATGACTCCTACTGAACGCCTTCTAGTTTATCCATATATGGCTAATGGAAGTGTTGCATCATGTTTAAGAGGTGATCCTTGTTAAGAATGATACTAGTTTACTCTTCAATATTTTTTTTTCCCAGTCCATTGTACCACGATCTTGTTTGTTCAAGCTCATCTTAATTTATGGTTAGAATGCCCAGCCCGGGAAGGGTGAATGATCTTTAATTTCAATCATGCACTAGTTTAATTAATTGTATATATATACAGAACGCCAACCAAATGAGCCACCACTTGATTGGCCTACACGGAGACGCATTGCTTTAGGATCTGCACGAGGACTATCTTATTTGCATGATCATTGTGACCCGAAGATTATTCACCGTGACGTGAAAGCAGCAAATATATTGCTAGATGGCGAGTTTGAGGCTGTAGTTGGGGATTTCGGTTTGGCTAAACTTATGGATTACAAGGATACCCACGTTACTACTGCTGTACATGGCACGATCGGACATATAGCTCCAGAGTATCTGTCCACAGGAAAATCTTCAGAGAAAACTGACGTTTTTGGTTATGGAATTATGCTTCTTGAGCTAATAACTGGGCAGCGGGCATTTGACCTAGCTCGCCTTGCAAACGATGACGACGTGATGTTGCTTGATTGGGTACGTCGCCCTACCTTTCACTTTTATCATATTCCTAGTTCAACGTATTAAAAATCCTTTTAAGCTTCCAATTTAGCCCCTGTTTGATGTAGGTTAAAATCACATTTTTAGTAGATTTTGATAAAAGCAAATGAAATTGGTGGTTGAAAAGTTGTAGGTCTATGAAATACGTGTTTAAAATTTACTGTTGACTTTGACTTGAGATTTTAATCTAGATCAACAGGGGCTTAGTCTTGTATGTTCACCCACTTCTTTGGTTCTGGCTAGTTTGAGAGGCATCTTCCTCTATTCAAATTTTCCGCAAAACTAACTTGTGAAATTATATATTCACAGGTTTTCTATTCTTTTCTTTTTCCAATCCTTACGTCTTACATTTCAGGTCAAAGGACTACTCAAAGAAAAGAAATTGGAAATGCTGGTTGATCCAGATTTGCAGAACAATTATGTGGAGGCAGAGGTGGAGCAGCTAATCCAGGTTGCTCTGCTTTGCACTCAGAGCTCTCTTATGGACAGGCCCAAGATGTCGGATGTGGTGAGAATGTTAGAAGGTGATGGTTTGGCTGAACGGTGGGACGAGTGGCAGAAAGTTGAAGTTCTTCGCCAGGAAGTTGAACTTATTCCACATTCAAGTTCCGAATGGATAGTGGATTCGACAGAAAATTTACACGCAGTCGAGTTGTCGGGTCCAAGGTGACCCCTCACGGCTAGAGGAAATTACTAGGACCTTTTCTGTTTAACCATTTTTTGCTTCCAAGAAAATAACCCCTTTCAAGTCTCTGAGAGCCTGTTGTGAATGTATGGTTAGTTATATTTGTGCATAGGAATTTTTAATGGCAGACATTTGATGAATTGCTTATAGAATCAGTTGAACAACTTGTTATTGGTTTCTTACTCGAGCCAGTGAGTTTAACAGTTATATCCTGCTAGTATGAAATTTTCATGAAGACCATTAGGATCGATACCTAGGGATGAAAATTGGCCGGTCAGTGGCAGCCCTGAGTGTAGGCGAAGTAGGCGGTCGCCTAAAGCCTCGCTTTGGTGAGGGCTCTAAATTAAGTAAAGTTAATTGGTTGGTTGAAAAAAAATGAAAATTATATCTATGAAATTTTGGAAATAGAATTATCGTATGCAAACATAAGAAACTAATAAAAATTGAAAATACATAAATCTTTAAAATATATATATTGCAACAAATTTATCGCTTACATTTAGCTCTCGTTTGGCCCCTATTAATTTCCATTTCATTACATTTTCATTTTTCTCACTCCTATTTTCAATCACATAATCTTCAATAAAATAATATTACACGTAAATCAAAAAAATTTCTTTCTCTTTCAACCACTTATTTTTTTTAAAAAAAAAATACTATTTCACCCATTTTCATTTCCACGAAATGAGGCCAAACGGGGACTTATTTATCACAAACATTACTTTTCCTATTTATAAAGTAGACACTTTATCTTCTAAATATTCATTTTCTTTTTCTAACAAAACAAAAGGTCTCTTTGTTTTTTTCAATTCCATGTCCAACATTCACCGACCATTATTTTTTCAATCTAACAAGATATAAATTATCCCCCTTTGAATTAAAATTTTGAGGATTCAATGCAATTTGGTTTGATCTTGCTGTCATTGATACAACCTTACAGGTTTATCTATTTCTCTCTTCTCTTCAAAACATATACAACAGAGTACATATGTTATTATTATATTGTTTTATTTTAATCTCACGATAATAATATATTTAGATATTTGTTAAAAGTACTTTGAATTTAGTAATTCTTTGTCCTTGTTCATATGGATACTTCTAATTTTAAATTAATTTTTTATAAATTAATATAAAATTAGAAGTTTGTTTGTATTTGATCATCATTTTCATTATTTTTTTACACTATCTTTTTGCAGCCACATTCTCCAATTTTGTACATAAATAACTCAAATGTATATTCAATTTTATTTGAAATAGTTGTAGTGAGAAAATAATCATATAAACGACATACTTCTTTGCCATTGCATTGTAATTCTATTTGCCAAACTTTACTTATAATTTGTATTGCTGGTTAAAATTTGACATTTTATTAGTTTTCTCTTCAAATTTGGGGCTTAGCTGTCTGTGTTTGATTCCTAATAATTATATTAAGCCCCTGTTTGGTATCGATTAAAATCTAAATTTTAATTTAAATCAAAATCAACAATTAATTTTGACCAAATATTTTATAGGTTTCAAAACTTTAAATCCACATATTTTATCTACTTCTATCAAAATCGACCAAAATTTTGATTTTAGGGATTGTTTGAGGGCCATTTTTATCAAAAAAAATGCATTTTGAAATATTGTTATGATGTAGAATATATAATTAAAAAATAAAAAAAAATTTGAATTTGCATATAATATAATTTTATTGAGAAATATGTAGTTGAAATAATATTAAATCACTATTGAAAAATATATTTTAATAAAAAAATAAGACTCAAACAAGAATTTAATCTCCATCAAACAGACTAAAACCTCTATACAAAGAGATTTAAAATATAGAGCCCAATTTGAAATTGACATAAAGCTCTCAAAATATCAGGGCGAACTTGGGCCGGTATCCCAGTTGATCGGATTTCTCGGTCAGAGACAGATTCCTTCCGTTTCTACCAAGTAAAGCTCGGTTGTTGAAAAATGAATTTAGAAAAATTTCATCTTTCTCAATCAATCCTAATCTATCCCCCCTAGACCGAGGATGGGTGGGTGTGCTCGGTTGGGGGAATATGAATTTTTTTTTTTTTTGGAAACCTTCTTTTTTGTATTAATAAAGATTTAATTGTTTTAAATAAGATTTATTTTTACTTTTTGAAAAAGTTACAGGACTTCGTGTACAAATTTTTTATTTTTATTGTTTTAATGTTTTTCTAAAACTTTTTTTTATTTAAAAAAATGATAAATCCATTATTTAATGATCAAAATGGAGTTTTGCTATATAATTGACACTTTGGGTATGAATTATGCTAAATAACACGGTTTAGAGTAGATTTAATAAATTTTGCAAAGATTGGGAATAAAAAGATACAAATTTTCCATTTGAATATTAAAATTATTCTAGAAAAGGTACAAGTTTTGGAAGCACATATGCATCCCATCCGCTTATAGAGAAGCAGGTGTACCTTATTTTGGTTGTATATCTATTTCTCTTACCTCAATCTCTCTTGCAAGTTGCAACATAGTGTCAAACATTAGAGGCCACTCAACTTTGAATAAAGTGTCATTTTAACCTTTCAACATTTTTTTTCTTTTTTCTGCTTCAAACTAGTTTTAAGTGTTTTATCTATGTGTCGCAGACAAATTTCATACATGGATAATGTTTATGTAGCTTAGTAATGCGAGATTCGACCTATAAAATTTAGATTAATATAACACTAAAGATAACAAGATTTCTCATCCTTGAAAGGCAAAAATCTAGCGATTATTCAAGAAATTAGGCAAGGATGAAAACATGATCACCATATAGACTCTTTTATAGTTTTAATTTAACTCATATTTTGAGAAATGAAACTAAAAAATAGAAATAAGTAACATTGAGAAACGATATGGAATTTGAGGATATTTTGATTTTAGAACAGTCCTGATCTTTCAAAATCCCTATATGATACGCTATATTATACTTTGTAGAAGTGTATTTCACTGATAAGGTTTTTGTATCGTAAATGCAGGTACACATTGCTATAACACCAACATGGTAAACTGAAATCACGAGTTGATGCACGAAAATTCACCTGCCACATAAGAAAGAACACTATTTTTTGACGAAATTTCTATTGGTTACGGAACTGAAACTTCAATTACGAGTTTGAGAAAAACCAATTGACTAAAATGAAACTTCTCCCCAAAGTTAGGTGACCTCCCAACACAATCACATTATTGTCATTTCCCTTTGTCGAAAAATTTCGATTTTACCGTCTAATAAATCTAAGCTATTTTTACCATCAACACCCACCGTCATAAAATTCTCTGTATAAATTTCATCTTCTGCTAGTCAATTAGTACAATTCGCGGAACGTGGTTTTAAAAAATCGCGATGTCGATGCTCGATTCCTTTACGACGAAGGGAGGATTCAAAGTTGCGAAATGGTAACCTCTTTTTTCTTTTTTCTTATTTAATTTTTAATTTTAGTTTATTTTCGATTTTAGGGTTTCTGTAATTATACACAATCTGATAAGTTGGTGAGGAACTGTTGGAAAATTTCCGATCAAACCAGAGTATGATATTTTCGAGATTAGAAAGTGAATAACTGTTAACTCATGATTTTATGTGCATCTATAATCAATTGAATTTGATCGGGCTTTTGGTGCTAGTTTAATTTTTTTGCTTTTAATTTAAGGAAATATTGAAAGTCGTGGTGATTGTTGAACTGTGGATAGTACGTGGTTTTATAAGTGAGTGACTTTGTAATCTATAGTTGTTTTTTATTCATAATGTTACAGTAAAACCCTGTTGAAACTGTCAATTCCCCGAATAAAGTTACTGAGGAACAGAAGAGAGATACAAATAAAGCAAATGCGTAGAGAAATTGCCAATCTCCTTGAGACCGGCCAAGAAGCCACTGCGCGGATTCGAGTATTAATCCATGCTTTTTTCCCTTATGAACTTATTCGATTTTTACATGTGGATTTTTCCTGCTTTTAGAAAATAATTTTTATTTTAAAATTTAGGTTGAGCATATTATAAGAGAAGAGAAGATGATGGCAGCACAGGAGATAATTGAGCTATTCTGCGAGCTTATTGCTGTTCGTCTTCCAATCATTGAAGCACAAAGGTATCGTGCCCTCCACCGTACAATCATTTTAGCAAGTGATTCCACGGTTAATGCATTCAGGGCTCAATAATCTTATAAGTTTAACGAAGGACAAATTAATCATGAAAGAGGACGATATAAGATATCTTTACATTGTAAGTTTGATAGACAAGCAATGATTATATTACCTCAAAAAGGATGTCACCTTTATTAATAAGGTATATACAATAGGAATCCTTGTTCCTTCTGAACCAAAATGGTATTAGGGAAACTTTTAAGACAATTTGGTGGTCTAGTACTTCATCTCATCATTGAGAGTTGCAGAAAATGATAAGCTTAAGGTAGTTCTTTCAATTACAGACCCCTAATGTAAAAGGCCAGATTCTAGAAGCATGTTTGGGAGTTTTTTATAATGTGTTCAAATTATAAATAGAGGAAAATGTTATCAAAAAAAATAAATAGAGGAAAATGAATGGTGGATGAGTGTGTAGTACTTGTAGGTTTCACGAAATGTGTGGACTTATCATAAACATGTTATGAAAAACAAGGGATAGAAGAGATCGCTGATGAGAAGATACCCCGTCTTCAGAACCACTGTTGTCTTTTTCTTCATAGGCTTCTCTTTTGCGTTCAGGGAAAACTTCCCTAAATTTGCTGCCTCTGTTTATTTTTGAGATTACTCTAGAAATCTATGCTTTGGTTTTCCTTTTCTCTGGATTTTTTGTGGGTGTGCCATTTCATTGAAAAATTAAGTTTGACACTGTATGTCTAAAAAGGTATCTATAGGTGACTTCATTAATAAGAAAAGGGGGCTTGGGTAACAGACTTGATTTTGATCCCCTCTATGATTTGGATAGTACTTAACATGTTGATCTATGGTGGATGCAGTTGTTTTATTTACCTTGTCTAACTAGCCATGGTCTGTCAACTAATGATGTGTTCCCAGGTGGCATGGTTAAGGTTTCTTTTCCCTGATTTGCGATCTGTTTTTTGAGTTTTGGTAATAGTCGTGAAGGTTTCATAGTAGCAAATTTGTTTCCTCATCGAGGACCATTTGAGCTTTTGATGTGTCCATCATCTATTTTTTGCAGAATTATCCTCTGTTCTAG